GTATTTCTGAGTGTTTTATGTGCTGCAGAACAGGAACCTGCTGTAAAACAGCAATTATGCTGAGTCAGGCTTGATTTTTAGTAATCTTTTCCTGTTGAATCAATAAATCAAAATCAAAGGATTATTATATAAACCCTGAAGTTTTAAATATGATCCGTTTGAAATCTTTTCTGCATAAATTTATACATAGATCCTATTTTAGTTTAAGGTCCTGTCTATAACGTTTTAGACAACTTGTGCCAACTTATGAACATTTTGTTATGACTATTTTACTCATATCGGCTACATATTTAATCTAATTGTTAGCGTTAAAGTATGTATAGGTCCAAAAGAGGCTTTCAGTAAACTTTTTAGAATACCATCTTATGCTTAGACATAAGACATAAGACATATTGTTGAACAAACTTGTAAGTTGAAATAAGTTGTCTAAAACATTATAGTATGACAGTYTCTTTACATTTCACTCAACTGCATTTGTCTGATAAGTTGTTTTTCTTTAATCTGTTAACTGCTATGTGTGAACAGCTAACCATTAAGAAAGCCAGCTGAGTTAAATATACTTTTACATGAAGGTTTTGGCTTCATCTTTACTACACGCACAGGTTCAGTTAGGCCAGCTTCTGGTTGAAAACGGAAAGAGTGAAGAATAACTCTACTCTGACCCATCCAACCAACCAAATGAACCAACCAACCAAATGAACCAACCAACCTAACCCAACCAACCAACCATATGAACCAACCGATCTAACCCAACCAACCACCAAACCAAACAACCAAACAAAACAACCAAACTAACTAACCAACCACTCACCAAACCAACCACCAGAACTAACCCAACCCAACCAAATCAACTAAACAAACAACCAAACCAACCAAGCTAACTAACCAACCAAACCAACTAAACAGAACCAAACTAACCAAACAACCAACCAACAAACCACCCAACCAACTGAACTAACCCAACCCAACCAATCACCCAACCAACTGAACTAACCAACCAAACAAACAAAGCAACCTATGACCTAATAGCTTTACCACAGCAACTCCAAATAAATAACCAGAAGCTTGTAGAGTGTAGAYAATTCAGTAATATAATCAGGTGGTGTGTTGTGGCCAGAAAAAATATATATTAACCTTTAAATCTTTATCAAGAAGTTTGAGGGTATGGAGCTGATGTTATTTTAAATATTCATGAATTTTGTGTTGTTGCTTTTTTCAGTCCAGGACATAAAGACCAGGTGAAGGTGGTTCCCTCAAAGTAACATTAAAGTTGTGAAACCCCATCTCAAACATTGTTCAAAAGCTTGAAAACCAATTCAAAAACTGCACTAATAATCCAAACAACTGGTTATTTATCAGTTTGACAATTGTTTTATTTTGTAAGAATTTTATAAACGTGTTATTAGTAATCAATTTAAAATGCTATTTATTTATGGAAAACATTTCATTTTAAAATCAGCAGCAGGATCTCAACCCAGACTGGGAACTACTGATTGAAAGGAAAATGTGATATTTATAGTTATTTCCTTCTATTTAGGCTTTAATTTCTTTTTAAAACATTTTAAGTGCAACAAAACTAAATCTTTTGTTAGACTTCACAACATGGAAAAAACTGGAATACCAAAAACAATTGGTATAATGGACAATACATATCTTCTTTAAATGAATATGAATATTAGACTTTTTGATAAAGGTTAATCTTATTTTATTATTAAATATTGATTAGAAAATGATTTTAAAAAGTGTCAACGTGACAAAGAGGGCATATTATTGTATTAAAACAGACATTAACAAGCTGATACAGTAAATGAGTTTATTCGGTCTGAAGATCATGAGAACTTAAATTATTTTTCTCATAATAGAAAAAGCGAACGGAAAACCAAAACTTAACAGATAAACTGATTGAGGTTGGTCCAATAAAAACATTACTCATAATTAAAATACGTTTGTATAGTATCCGATTCTGTTTTAGTGGTGAAGCTTCTGTTAAGTTGACACGAGCTCGGAGTTTGTGCATTAGTTCACAAATGAACCAAGAAAAAAWCTCAGCTGAAGTTAAAAATCACATGGCTTCCGTAGAAAATTACCAGATAAAGTTGTTTTGCAGCCCACTCCTCAAGTTCAGTTCACCTAAAATGATTTAATCATGACGGCAAAAAATCCAAACTCCCTGAAGTTAAAACAGATGTAAGATTAGCAGGAGGAGAAGCCGCATCACGTCCGTTCCTGAGACGGATAGCGATGGAGAGRGGAGTGAAGCATCGACAGAACCTCGCAAATCAAACTTTCCCTCCAAACTCTGGATCAAAACATGACAAAGGGCTTTGATGAAAGCCGCATGTGGAGGGCACCTTTTTCCTCTTCTGTTCATCTCTCCTCATTTATCCTCCTCCTGCGCTACATTTTAATAGACTCCGTGGAAATCCATGTGGGACAGATTACAGAGTGGAAGGAAGCAGGTTTGATCATCTACAAATAAGCTCAACAATCTCCCAAAGTGGAGAACTCAGCAGATCCACTTACACTCACCGGCACACACAAGTTATGTGGCTTTTGTTTGTTTCTGGTTTCTTCTTGAGACATTTTTTTTCTTCTTGGCTTTTAATTCAGCTCAGGATGTTGGTTTTAAAGATGTTTTTTATTGTTTTGTTTGTTGTTTTTATGATCTTATTGGCTTATATAACTTAGTTTATTGGTTTTTATGTTTGCTTTCATGAGTTTTTATCAGGGTACAACTCGATGGCTATTGGTGTTTTTAAAGRGCRTTATAAATAAAGTRGTATTGCATCTTTATGTAGCCAATGAGAATGTATTTACCATCAGTCCATCCTGTGTGAGTTCTCAAACACATTCTCCTTAGTTACTTTAATTTAAAAGCAAATCACCTACTGCCTTTCATGCTGAGGTTTTAGACTATGATCATTTTGTATTAAGAAATGATGCGTTGCAACA